GAAGTGGGAGAAAAAGAAAGGTCATGCTTAATATTTTCTGCTTCTTTTTTTATACGTTGTAAAGCTCGTTTGTTCTTGCTTAAATCAATTCCTTCTTTTTTCTTAAATTCTGTAATTATTCAATTAATAATTTTCTGGTCAAAATCAGCACCGCCTAAATAAGTATCCCCAGCAGTAGACTTCACTTCAAAAATGCCTTCGTTGATTTCAATGACAGAAATGTCAAAAGTTCCTCCTCCAAGGTCAAAGACGGCAATAGTGCGAACCTCTTTTTTTTTATCAATTCCATAAGCCAAAGCGGCGGCTGTTGGCTCGTTAATAATTCTCATTACTTCTAATCCAGCAATTTCTCCGGCATCTTTGGTAGCATTTCGTTGGGAATCATCAAAGTAAGCAGGTACGGTAATTACGGCTTTTTTTACTTTTTTTCCCAGATAGTCCTCCGCTATTTTTTTCATTTTTTGGAGAATGAAGGCTGAAATTTGTTGGGGAGAATATTCCTTTTTTCCTACTTTAATTCAAGCATCGCCGTTTTTCCCTGAGACAATTTCAAAAGGAGCCAGTTTTTTGAATTTTTGCACTTCCGGAGAATCAAACTTCCTTCCCATTAAGCGTTTTGCTTCGTAAACTACTGACTGAGGTTTAAGAACCGATTCTTTTTTGGCTACTTCTCCAACCTCTACCAGATTTCCTTCTTCATCAAAAAGAACCATTGAATGGGTAGTGTTGCTTCCATTTTCGTTAATGACAACTTTATAGGTGCCATCTTCCAATCTAATAGACACACAAGAGCGGGTAGTTCCCAAATCTATACCAATTGCATTTTTACTCAAAACATTCATATTCATATAATATAATTTTTAACCTTTTTTCTTGCTAACCACCACTTCGGCAGGGCGAAGGACCTTTCCTTGATAACAATATCCTTTCTGGGAAACTTGCAAAATTGTTCTTTCTGGATAATCATCATTTTTTTCGGAGGATATTATTTCGTGTAAATTATGGTCGTAGTGGTCTTGGCGAGGAACAACTTTGATTTCTTCAATTTTTTCTTGCTGAAAAAAATCTTTCTGCGTCTTGGCAAAGGCTATTTGAAAACCAGCTAAAAATTGTTTTACTTTGGGGTCTTGATAGGTTTGACTAATTTCAAGGGCTCTTTCATAACTGTCAAATAAGGGCAAAATTTTTTCAATCAATCTTTTACTAGTATTATACATTAACATTGTACTTATTTCTCTCATTTCCTTAAAATGGTTTTTTTTTTGATTATCCAAGTCAGCCAAAAGACGCAAATTATCATTTTTTAAGGTTTCAATTTTGTTTAATAATTCCTTATTATCCTTTTCTAAATTTTCGATTATTTGCTTTTCATTTTCATTTTTTTTTTCAGAAGAGTTAGGAGTTGAGAAAGTTTTTTTATTTTTTTCTTTCGTATTTTTCTCGTTTTTTTTATTTTCGTTAACCGGATTCATATAATAAATTTTTGGTAGTAATATACAAATTTACACAAAACTTATAAATGAACTTTACTTTTTAATTCTTTTTTTAGATAAAAACAATCCTCCTATTTTTTTAAAAAACTGTGTTAATTTTAAAAATTGAAAACTTGATATTCTTTATTTTTTATCTGGCCCAAAAGCACCACCATAATCTTTTTGGATAATCTGAGCCGATTGTTCTTGAATTTGTTGTTTCTTTTGCCTTTCTCTTTCTCTTATTTGCGAAGGGCTTATACCTCCTCTTTCGTCAGGGCTTTTTATCGCCGCCGTAAAATTCGCCCAACTTGAATCTCCTAAACTAGGATTAACCGGTTTAGTTTTAATGGATAATCTTTTTTGTTTAGTTTGCTGTTGCCGGAGTTCTTCTATTTTTAAGTCTTTTTGGTTTATATCTTCACTTGTTAAGTCGGTTTGAATTTCTTTTTCTAAGGTTGGCACAGTGATTTTTAAAGTATTTTTTAATTCTTGGGCGTAATCCTGAGCCTGTTTTAACTGCTCTTGCAGATTAACTTTTTCTTTTGGCGGTTGAGCCTGGTTTTTAATTTGCAACTCCTTAACCTTTTGATTCAATTCGGCTATTTTCTCGGCATTCTTGGTTTCTTCTTGTCTAATATTAGTTCTTAATTTTTCTGCTTCTTGATGAGTTTCTTGCCATTTATGATAATGACGTAGGGAAGAATCTAGATAGTCCGATAAACCTTCATTTTTTAACCGAAAAATATCCGGCAGGTGAGGAGTATTGGTAAAATCTGCTTCCTTATATTCTTGTAATATTTTTTCCAATTTAACTACATTTTCACTATCTAAATGCTCGTGGAAAGTACTAAATAATTCTTTTAACTTTTGTAAAATTTTTACTTCGTTTTCGGTTAGTTCTTTTTCTTTTTCCAGCTCCTCAATTTGGTAGGTAAATCTTTGTTGGTCGGCCTCTTTTATTCGTTTTAATTCGGCAATTTCGTCTCTTTTTCCGTGCAGAGTTCGTTTTAAGTTGTCATATTCAAACTGTAATTCTTGCCTTTGTTTTTCACTAATGGCTAGTTGTTTTTCTACCGCTTGTAATTTTTTCTGTAAATCGGCTCTACCTTCTTCTAACTGTTTGGTTCATTGTTCATTATCCTTAACTTCTTTTCTTTTTAAATTTTCTTCTAATTCTTGAACTGTTTTTTCTAACTTGGTCTTTTCCTCTACTAATTTGTTCTTCTCCTCGGTTTCCGAAGATTTTTGTAAATTCTTAATTTCGTTTCTTTTTATTTTTAAAGTCCCGCCATTAGTGGCATTGATACTAACCATTAATAAGCCTCCTTCCTCAGGAATTTCGCAAGTTTGTCGTTTATTTCCATTAGCCGTAACCGCATACTCAATAGTTCCTCCTTTGGCCAACTTCACTTCGGCCTGATAATTATAAGAAGGATTATTTTTATGTCCTCCTTTCGTCAAGCAACCTAAACAAAGCCTTCGATAATCTTCGTGTTTTGTGCCAGGCAAGCCAGCTCTTAACTGCTGATATAAATCGTCGTCCAAAACGCCAATGTAAGAAACCACATTATAATCTAATTTAGAACCATCAAAACTAATTAATTCTTCTCATTGATTATTAGGTAAGTAGTTGAAATTTTGTAACAGGGGACAATCGGCCACACTGAAATCTTTAACTTCATTGTAGCTACAATTCAATTCTTTAAGTTGAGGACAGTTTTTTACTATTAAGCCCGTTAAACCTCCTCACTGCTCTCAACTTCCTTTTAGGTTTATTTTTTCTAAACCAGGAAAATTTTCGATTTGTAATTGACCGGTGATTAATGTTCCCGCTTCTAACTCAATTTGTTTTATTTCTTCTGGACGAGGATATTTTTCCTTTAATCATTCTTGTGCGTTTGTCATAATACTATATAATATAGTTTTATATAGAATATAAAAAATTTTACTCAAAATATTTAAAAGGATTCTGAACCATTTGAAAACTTAATTGGGTTGACTCTGGTTTATTTTCTTGCTTAACTAATTGCGTATAATGATTTCTCCGTCTAGTTTGTAGAGTAATTTGTTTTTTATTAGTAGGTAATTTAGCATCGGGTAAAGCCTGAATTTGGTTATCTCAATATCCTCCCTCGGCTAAATTATCGATATTTGCTTCTCTTTCCATACCAGCTTTTATATAGTCTCATTGGCTAATTCCTGCTCTTTGTTCTAATTGCTGAATTTTAGTTTCGCGGTTGTAGGCTGCTTTTACTAACTGAGAGATTTTTCTTTGTGAGGATTCTTCCTGGTTTTGCGATTTTTTTAGTTGCTCCATTAAGCAGGCGATTTCTTTTTTTTGTTCCTCGATTATTGCTTCGGAGGGCAAACTAATCTTTTTGGTTGTTTCCCGGCACTTTTTTTCTTGTTTAACTTGGTTTAGATATTCTTTGGCTCCTTCCCCAATTTTTAAGACTAATTTTTCAATTTCAACTTTGGCTTTGCTAGCTTCTTTTTCCAAAATGTCATTTATTTTTTCTTTGATTCAATAGCAGCCTAGTTAATGTTGACAATTTCATCTATTTGTCTAATAGAGAAACTTCAATTGTA